GATGATGATGATAATGATGATGATGATGATGCTGCTGATAATGATGATGATGATGATGATGATGATGATGATGATGATGCTGATGATGACGATGATGATGATGATGATGTTGATGATTATGCTGATGTTGAGGATGATTTTGATGATGATGATGATGCTGATGATGATGATGGTGATGATGATGGTGGTGGTGGTGGTGATGATGATCATGATGATGATGATGACGATGATGATGCTGATGATGATGCTGATGATGATTTTAACGATGATGATGGTGATGATGATGATAATGATGATGATGATGATGATGATGATGATGATGATGGTGATGGTGGTGGTGGTGATGATGATGCTGATGCTGATGCTGATGATGATGATGATGATGATGATGATGATGATGATGATGATGATGATGCCTATGCTGATGTTGATGCTGATGATGATGATGATGATGATGATGATGATGATGATGATGATGATGATGATGATGATGATGATGCTGATGCTGATGCGATGCTGATGCTGATGCTGATGCTGATGCTGATGCTGATGCTGATGCGATGCGATGCTGCTGATGATGATGAGGAGTGAGGAGGAGGAGGAGGAGAAGGAGGAGCACGGGACGACCGAGAAGGAGAGGAGAAGGAGGAGGAGGAGGAGGAGGGGGAGGAGGAGGTGGAGGCGGAGGGGGAGGAGGAGTAGAGGAGGAGGAGGAGGAGGAGGAGGAGGACGAGAAGGGCCGAGGACGAGGAGGAGAACACGACGACGTGGACGGGGAGGAGGAGGAGGAGGAGGAGGAGGCAGGAGGAGGAGGGAGGAGGAGGAGGAGGAGTAGGACGAGAGACGAGGAGGAGGAGCAGGACGAGGAGGAGGAGGAGGAGGAGGAGGAGGAGGAGGAGGAGAAGGAGATGACCTCCCCAACCTGCCTTCTCCCCCGTTCTACACACGGTAGTGGTGGTTGAAACTTGCTCCATCAGAGGATGCCAGGGGGGGGTGGGTGGGGGGGCGAATCTTGGCACAACAGCAGCTATGACCACAACTGGTACGATTCTTTTGGAGGGCCCCTCGGGGGGGAGCCCACCGACCTCGACTTGAGCGCTCTGGTTGTGGTTGTGGTCGTGTTGGCCGTCCTGGGGCGCCAAATCTATCACAACCAGTGCGAAGCTGGCCTCGGTGCTCCGACAAGGCTTCGCATGTGCAGGACGTTCTCCAGGGTATGCCCTCGGTTTGGTTGTGGTCGCTTGCTGTCCCGGCAGGGTGCGCGACCCGTGCCGCTCGGGGTCCCATGAGGTCCCCCACCGGTCGGGGCCCCGAGGACCGATCGCGCCCGGGTCCGGGTGCCCCCCTGGTCGGCGCTCACGCCCCGCGCGGGGCGGGTTGGGCGGGGGGGCACCCTCGGCCGCGCGTCGGGGGGGCCGTCTCTTGCCGCCTCCCACAATCCACGCGCAGATCTAGGCCTCCTGGATGGGGTCCGAGTAGATGGGGTCAGTGGATTGTGCCGCATCGCCGATGCATCGGCGATGCGGTGTGGAGCCCGTGCTTTCCCACGTTGACGTCGCCGATGCGTCGCCGGCGTCGCCGATGCATCGGTATCGCCGGTGTATCGGCGATGCGGCGCGATCTTCCGGCCCCGTATACTCCGACCCCAACTGGGAGGCCTCTAGCAGAGGGGGTATAGATGGAGAGGGGGGCCTCTTAGAGCCGCCCTTGCTTCTCAGAAGGCGCGGGCCCTATCTGCAGCTGTATGCAGGGCCGGCGCCTCCTCAGAAGCAGCCTCCTTCTAAGAAGCTTTCCCCCCTCCCCCACACCCCCTTGTGCGCGCCGGCAACACAAGCGCACCCGGACACCCCAATCGCTCGCCCCTTGACTGCTCGCCAGCGGCCGTGCCGAGGTTGGCGGACCACCTGGACGACTGCTTCGACCGCCTGGCCTACGGCGGAGCCAACCTGCCGCACGGCGAGCTCGGCAAGCCTGCGGCCCCGGCTGACAAGGAGGAGCCCAGAGGAGGAGCGAGGAGGAGGAGGAGGAGAAGGAGGACGAGCGAGTGGCGCGGAGCGAGGAGCGAGGAGCGAGGAGCGAAGAGGAACGAGGAGGAACGAGGAGGAGGAGGAGGAGGAGGAGGAGGAGGAGGAGCGAGGAGCGAGGAGCGAGGAGCGAGGAGCGAGGAGGTGGAGCGAGGAGTGAGGAGCGAGGAGGAGGAGGAGGAGGAGGAGGACAATGTATGAGAGAGGAACGAGGGGGAACGAGGAACGAGGAGGAGCGAGGAGTCAGAAGGCCCCGGCTGGAGAGGAGGAGCTAAAGGCGAGAGCCACATTTTGTAACCAACCTGCCTTGCATCCGCGACACTTTTGCAAGCTTTCGCGACGAATTCGCTTTGCGCTAAAGCGAGGGCCACATTTTGAAAACAACTGACCTTCAATTCGTGAAGTTTCTGCAACATGTCGCGACGAATATGCTTGGCGCTCAAGGCGAGAGCCACATTTTAACGACGACCCGCCCTCCATCCGCGAAGCTCTTGCAACTTTCAGCTGGAGGTTCGTAATTGGTGAGGAGTTTTCAAGCTGGACCGCCGTACCAACACGTCTCGGGGTGCGAAAGTGAGTTATATGTAAGGAGAAGGGCTTGGTGGAGGAGGAGGAAGAGGAGGAAGAGGAGGACACGTGCAAACCAAAGACTCATCAGCGATGCTGCAATCAACCCTCCCAAGTTCCTTCCTCGTCGGCCTCAGGCAAGTGTTCATTTTCACTGAGGAACGTGCCCCGTAGGAGGACAACCGTCTAAAAATCCGGAATCGTGCCAGAACACCGTTCCTGAAATGTCAACAATACGAATCAATGTTTTGGTTGCGTCCTGACGATCCAGAGTCGTGTCAGAGCGCCGTTATTCGGACTTCAACACCGCGAGTCAACGTAACTGTCGCGCCCTGACAGTCCTGCAGTGTGCCGCAACAGCTTTTCTGGGACGTTAGCCGTAAGTTCTGAAGAGGAATTGGCGCTAGAACGAGAGCCATATTTTAAAAAGGTGCCGGCTTCCATCAGTCAAACCCTTGCACAAGTTTGAAACGAATGTGCGCGGCGCTACGGCGGGAACCAAAGTTTGAAAAAGTACAGTCCTCCATCCGTGAAGCTCTTGTACGTTTTCACAACGAATTTCCTTGGCGCCAAAGCGAGATCCTTATTTTGCAAACGACCCGCCCTCCATTTGTGAAGCCTGTTGCAACTGTTCAGTTTAAGGATCAGGAGCGGTGAGGAAATATCCCAGCGAAGCACCCAGGCCGCCTCGCGCACACTTCCCGGGGTGCAGCAGGGAGGAGTTATCTGTAAGGGTATGGGATGGATCGAAGAGTGAGGAGGACGAGGGCCAGTGTATGCATCAACGATGTTGCAAAACACCGTCCCTCCACATTCCCTCTTCATAGGTGCGTCCAATGATTCATATTCACTCAAGGAAGTACCGCCCGCTGAAAGACAACCGTTTGGAAATCTGGTGCCGCGCCAGAACGCCATTTCTGAAATCCGGACTCTATTGCCTTGAATGAACGTTACGTTCGCGTCTTGACGACCCTGAATCGTGCCAGACCGTTGGGGCTTCAATACCACGAATCAAAGTAACTGTTGCGCTTCGTCAGTCCTACATCGTACCAATACACGATTTGTGGGAGGCGGGCCTTGAACATTTGTGAAATTGTCGCAGAATCATTAAGCCAATGTGCGCGGCGATCAGGCGGGAGCTACATTTTGAAAAGGCACCTCCGCTCGTTAGAAGAACTCTTACGAATTTGTAGCACGACTGTGCGTGGCGCTGAGGCGAGAACCACATGGTTAAAAAGGTGTCGCACTCCATCCGTGAAGCCTTTGGAATTTGTCAGAACTAATGCGCGCGGCGCTAAGGCAAGAACGCAGTTTGAAAGCGGCCCGCCTTCCACCCATTATATATACACATATCAGAGTGAAGGGGGCTGAACCGAACGGTCATTCATTGTCCCTGGGTGCGTGGCTGAAGTGAAATTCCGCGATGCGGATTCGTGTTGTTGCTGTTGCTGTTGTTCTTGCTCTTGCTGTTGTTGTTGTTGATGGTGTTGTTGCTGTTGTTGGTGTTGTTGTTGTTGTTGTTGTTGTTGTTGTTGTTGTTGTTGTTGTTGTTGTTGTTGTTATGTGTTGGTTGCTGTTTGTTGTTTGTTGATTGTTACTTGTTGTTTGTTGTTTGTCGTTTGTCGTTTGTTGTTTGTGGTTTGTGGTTGTCGTCGTTCCACCCGCGACCCGCCCCGCGACCCACCCGCGACCCACCCCGCGACCACCCCGCAACACACCCGCGACCCACCCCGCGACCCACCCGCGACCCACCCCGCGACCCACCCCGCAACACACCCGCGACCCACCCGCGACCCACCCCGCGACCCGCCCGCGACCCAACCCGAGATCCCCCGGCGACCCACCCGACCCACCCCGCGACCCACCCCCGACCCAACCGCGACCCACCCCGCGACCAAACCGCGACCCACCCCACGACCCACCCGCGACCCACCGCGACCCACCCGCGACCCATCCGCGACCCACCCCGCGACCCACCCAAAATTTTCGGCGCCTGCGGCGGTTTTTTTTTGGCATGCGTTCCAGGTGGAGAACCTGCGACCCACCCGCGACCCAAACCGCGCCCGCGACCCACCCGCGACCCACCCCGCGACCCGCCCGCGACCCGCCCCGCGACCCACCCAAAATTTTCGGCGTCTGCGGGGGGGTTCTTTTGCATTCGTTCCAGGTGGAGAACCTGCGACCCAAACCGCGTGCAGTGTACAAATCAAAAGTTCGGCGCCTGCGGCGGGCTGTTTTTGAATTCCTTGCAGGTGGAGGTGGAGAACCCGCGACCCACCCGCGACCCAAACTACGTGCACTGAACAAGCCAAAACTTCGGCGCTTGCGGCGAGTTTCTTTTGCATTCGTTCCAGGTGGAGAACCTGCGACCCAAACCGCGTGCCTGCGGCGGGCTGTTTTTGAATTCCTTCCAGGTGGAGGTGGAGAGCTCGCGACCCACCCGCGACCCAGACTACGTTCACTGAACAAACCAAAAGTTCGGCGCCTGCGGCGGACTGCTTTTGCATTCGTTCGGGGTGGCCCACCAGCGATCCCCCCCGCGTTGAACTTGTCAGAGCACGCAAATCGGCGCCTACGGCGGGCTTGCTCGCATTGGTTTGGGAAAGCGCACTCGTGCCATTCCCCCGATCCGGCCCACGTTGACTCTACAACAGCATATCGGCGTCTGCGGCGGGGCTGTGTCTAAACACGTTCATTGGCAATCCAGCTGCTTGCTGCAATTCGGCATCCGTGCCCAAAGCCTGGGTTCAGGGGAAGCTGCTTCAAGGCGCCCACAATTAAGGGGCCCCGGGGCGCTCAAGGACCCTCCTGAAGGGAGCGTCCACGAACCCTACCACACAGCACGCGGCGGATTTTGGATGCCGTCTGAGCCCCCCAAGGCCTCTTCAAGCTCCGCTCATCCACACCAGCCCATCCAGCAACTGTACCCTGCCGAGTTGCCTGGATCAGAGAAGTCGGGGAGCATTCAGTGGAACAAAGGATTGGTTTGCCGTTATCTCTAGAAAGAAGGGCGAGGCAGAGGAGTAAACAGGGGACGAGGAGGACGCGGAAGAAGAGAGGATGTAAGGAGAATGTGGAGAAATTGGAGGAGGAACAGGAGGAGGAGAAGGAGGAGGAGGAGGGCGCCATCGACAGGGAAGGTGAAGGCCACGCGGTCCGCCAGCTCGACGCCCGCGTCGCCCGCGCCCGCCCCCTCACTCATACACGCCCCCCGCCCCCGCGCCCCCCCCTCACTCGCCCCCCCATCCGCAATTGCGGGGTGCTACGGTATACATATATTACCAGGCAAATTCTCAGCTTAAGGATCCTGAGTAGTGAGGACTTCCCGAGCGAAGCGCTTGGCCCGCCCTACCGATATGCCCTGGGGCAACGCATCACGCGGCTACGTTCAAGGACCTGCCATCCAGGAGACCAACAACCATGTCCACGAGCGACCGGCGTCAACCGACGAGCAACCCTGTTCCGTGCGAGAGTGTCAACCATCGAGAGCCCATATTTCGAGAATCCAGCGGAAAACAATTGAAATCCAAGGTCGCAATGGCCGAGCCGATCGCCTACGCTTCCAGGCGCACCTTTACGCCTACGTTACCCTCGGCCTCCCCGAACTACATGGACCACGGCGTCTCAATCCACATGCCATCATGGCACTTGGGTTTGCCCCACCCATAACGCACGGAGTGGTCAAGCGGATCCACTGGTGCACCAGCAGCATTTACCAGACCGGCTCCACCATGGACGCCCCGGCCGTTGCGATTTCCATTGAAGATGACGACGGTGTTACATACGTGGGCACCATGTCAGCCAAAACCACAGATTCTACTACGGCAGACAATAACAAACCTACATCAACAACCATGGCATTGACGGCGTTTATTTGGGCATGCGCATGGATATACAGCCCAGCAGAGGTCTACAGCAAAGTGCCAGTAACCGTGCACGTTGAGTCCAAGGTTGCAGTCGGGTCAGCCCAGGGAGCACCCGTACCTCACAGCAGCTATGGCTTGGTCGCATGTACAAACCAGCTACACCAGATGGCCTCCAACGCCAGTGACCTTTGCATTGGCCAAGTGCACGCTCACACAGACCACCCTGGGAACGAGCTGCCTGATTCTGTGACAAAGAGGTCAAGTTAACGCAACGAGGCAAGCCCCCAGCCAGAATGGACGGCAGTATTGGATGCGCAACACCATCGGCAATGTGAATGGCTACATCAGGCTGGCGACGGCACGCGTAGAGCATACCCAGACGTGACCGACCATGGCATGGAAGCGACAGTGACAAACGCCACAGTTGCACCAGAACAAGGCACACCACAACATTACCAAACCAGCAAAAAACAAGTAGCGGTGAACCTTACCACGATGACCTTCAACGTCCGCAGTTCCAACGCACCGACCCACACCGGGATGGAACAGATGAGAAAGGTGCTCGGATCGATGTTATGCGCCACCAACTGCAGACCATGGACATCCACCTGGTCGGACTTCAGAAACCATGGCGACCGAGAGGCACGACAGATTTGCACGGCTTCCACGTCGCCCCGAGTTGCGACGACAACTGCAGTTTGGGTTGCTCGCTCCTCGTGAACATCGACATCCATTGCTCGGGGAAAAACAAGGGCACCAAACACCACTTGCGCCCCGTCCGCCTCGAGATACCGCCCCAGGACCGGGGGCTCCTCGTCGTGCGCATTTTTGCACCAGGCCTCGACCAGGTCTCGGGGGGACTGTGGCTGTGGCTCATGCAAACCACGGATCGGGCGAAGAACAGACATACTTTTCTGGACCAACGTCAGTACATGACTCACAAGTTCACTCATCATGACCGACGCCAGCGCCACACGTGGGGGCACATTACCGACTCGATGGGAGACTACGGAGAGATGTTCGAGGAGAACGTGGCTGGCACG